GAATGAATACCACTTTAGCCTGCCGCCAGCTTCTAGGTGTAAAGCCCGTGGCCACACATGTTCGAAACACGTTCAACAGGTGAGGAACAACCGAACTCGGTCCCTGCTGTAACATGGCCGGAAATACGCCGCCCAGAGCTGGACTTTTGTAACAGGACCTTCGTCCGAGACTCCCGGACCTCTCAATGTCGTGCCTTGAATATATAGTTCGGATCTCCAGTCCAATACTTCAATTTCTAGACTGGTCCGAGACCCCTCGAATTTCAAATTCTCTTACCTTTTACTTGTCTTCCTATATGAGGTAGACTCGCGTAGAACCTGACATAAAGTAGTATAATCTTGCCTCATTGAAACACTCACTTACGCAGAATGTTGCTTCTTCTGTTCTCCAAGTAATCAGAGAACGTGGTAAACGCCCGAATGAATACTCTCGGAACCGTCGAACTCAGTTAGCTTCAATAATGAATTTAATGAAACTCAAGTTAGAGGAGGCTGATTTTTATTAATAATTGAATTACAGACTCGAACATCTATATACTCGTGAAGAGTGAACTAGCGATGACAACGAACAGTTAACGCTGTAAAACTAATAGACTGGGGAAAGGATCACTGGAGGAGTGAATTACGACTAAGTTAAAAGGAACGGTGACAACTAAATTACAATAAATTCAAGTTTGAACCTAATGGCAAAATTAAACTCAAGAATCTCAACTTTAAAATGCTAATTAATCAAGCTAGTGCACAGAATCCTTAGTTGACTCGGTATTATTTTAGCTTTAGTCAGAAGGGAAAAGCCCCCTTTCAAGTAACTGAAAGTGCTTACTGATGAGAACACAACGTAACACAATTCACCAACGCAACACTTATTAACAGCCACTAACTGAGGGAAAATCGAAGCAACTTTTCAACCGTACAAATCAAAGATGAGAGAAGTGAAGTTTTCAGTTTCAAAATTATCGGAGGTCAGTTGCGGATTTTCCCCTCCATCAGAAGGCTGGTCACTTTTCTTAGTGAGTTCAACCCTTGTCTCCTCATTGGTCGATCAGTTTACAACCCTTGCAATGGTCGCCTGATTCTCTAAAGATGGAAACTAACTTGGCCAATGATTGTTAGGCTTAATTTTTGAACTCAAAATGGCCTTAAACTCTATTGGTTAATTACGTTCCCTTGTCCCACCTCAAGTAGTCTCGTCAGCGTGGTTTTAATTGCTTTAGGGCAAACCATGCAGTTTTCAATAATTTCAGTGGATTGGGAATTCCTGTAATGCTGAGGCCACAATTCGAGATGTCCTCTTAAATAATTATAAAATTATTCATAGCATTTAGGTAAAACTAACGGTGACTATCTTCTGGAATTTTTAATGTATTTTAGCAAAGTTAGCTTCGTTGGAACTACGCAGTCTTTCGTTGGTTTCACCTGCCCCTCTCTAATGATAGTTTCCAAACCGCATCTGTCAACGTGTACGTTGACAGAGGGTAGAATCGTATCCAGCCTGGCGCACCTGCTCCTATCATCTAGGGGAAAATTCTACTAAAAACCTAGCTGTTTGTCTTTTTCATATTTTCCCACAATCATGACAATTTTTAGTAATATGCTAGCCTTCGGATGTCTTAGATATCGCATGATACGCCTCTGACGCGTGATCGTTCAGCGCTCGGGGTAGTTTCTAACATCTGCTAACCAAATGGTTGAGATTCAAATTTATCAGCACTCCCTTGGTTGTAACTTTATAGTTATAGCAACCAAATGTTATTACAGAATAGACCTCCAAACCCTGTTTTTGTCCCGGCCTATTTGAAAGGTCCAACTTTATAGCATCCGGTCCTATTATCTATTTTCTTCGAAATATGAATTTGGTTTCCCTTGGCGCTCGCTGGGTGGCTTGCAGATGCGGATGTTTGTTCTGTCCTTAGTTTTTATGTCTATTTCTATTTTACGGATGCGACGAATTTTTACAGGGGTAGGCGGCATGATGAATTATTTCAACGAATTTAGAAATTGATAACTTGGTCGGCTACATTACCCCCCCCCCCCCCCTTAGACGGAACAATTTTTTTTCAAATCATGGAATAAATAAAATTGTTCGGAAGGCATAGCTTAACAATAGGATAAATGAAATAATACTTTCATAAAAAATGAAATAGAAAAAGTAAGCAAAATAGACTTGTGACCTATTGATACGCCACTGCGTGTGGATCCAGGCACGTGCTATCCTTGCACGGTCTCAGTGGTGGATAGCCCGGAGCCATGGGTACCGGCGCTGTCTGGGTCTCGGCATCCCTCTGATGGTTGACTGCTTGAAGATCGAACTGCTGTTTTCGCTGAGCGTGTAGTTGGTACAGGTAACGGTGAGCTAGAGCCTGCCATAGACTACCCCATAGGTAGCGTCTCTTCGGATGGTTCCTCGCTGCGTTTCGGAGTGTGAAATACGTAGTCATGCCATAAGTTCTGTCCCTCGTTTTCAAACAAGTGTAGACCTGTTAATACTTGTCCGATTGTTTACATTGTGGTGTCAGTTGATTAAGCGCTTTTCGGGTAATTACATATACCTCAGTTTGTATTGATCTCTCGAAGCATAACGATGGAGTGGGGCAAGGCAGAGAACCGTATTGCAGTGATAGCTTTACATAAGTGTAATCACAGTGCTAGTCAGATTTTTGAACTCTTACGCGGCCTTCAAATATCGCGTAAATTTGTGTCTAGGACCATTCAGCGGTACAATGAGACGTCCTCTGTTGATGACAGGCCAAGAAGCGGAAGACCTCGTCAAGTAAGGACTCCAGCAGCCATCAAAGCCGTAAAAGCCAGGATTCAAAGGAATCAACTCCGGAAGCAGAAGATCCTATCCAGGGAAATGAAGATTCCTGTCCGGACGATGTCGCGCATCATTAAACAAGACCTAGGGCTAGGGGCTTACCGGAGACGTACGGGCCAGCGACTTACGGCCACCTTGCGACACATCAGGGCGACAAGATCCAAGAAGCTCTTGGAGAGGTACGCAGCTGGGGGATTCCGAAAGATTTTGTTCACGGATGAGAAAATCTTCACCATAGAAGAAAAATTCAACCGACAACCACCCTGCGTCAGTCATGGTTTGGTGGGGGGTGTCCTACGAAGGGGTCACTCGGCTCCATTTCTGTAAACAGGGCGTGGAAACAAAAGCGGCAAACTATCAGAGCGACATACTGGATCCTATCGTCAAGCCTTTAAGTGGTACATTGTTTGCCAACCAACACTGGGTCTACCAGCAGGATTCCGCCCCCGCTCACAAGGCTAAGAGTACGCAGCGCTGGCTGGAAAGCAATGTGCCAGAGTTCATTGCTGCGGAAGATTGGCCCTCAGGGAGTCCGGACCTCAATCCTTTAGACTACAAGTTGTGGGACCTGCTAGAGCAGTTGGCCTGCTCCAAAGCCCACCGTAATATCGAGTCCCTGAAAGCGGATTTGATCCGATCAGCGGCAGCTATTCCTTTGGAAGCTGTGCGTGCAGTGATAGATGAGTGGCCCGCGAGATTGAAGCAGTGTGTGAAGGCCAAGGGGGGACATTTTGAATAAAACTGTTTGATTATGAATTCTAAAAATGTTGTCGAATAAATAATATCTTTCATATAAATATATCTTATCTTGTTTCATTTTTATCATGAGATTATCATGGGACAGAACTTATGGCACGACTACGTAGTTTGCGATCATATTGGCGACATAGCTGGCAACACATAGCATGGTGTATAGGAATGCACACACCGAGAAGATGTTGCCCATACGTGATAGGAACTCTCAGACATGTTCCGCCACAGAAATGGCGATGTTCTTGAACTCTGCCCTCGAAAAGAGTCCTGGCATGAAGTGACGGTTTGTTGCATTTCTCCTTGCCATCTCGTTTGCCACAGCCTCGCATTCATCCAGGAACAGAAGATCTTAGGTGTCCATTTCCTCTTTCGTGTAGAGTCCATGGGAGGAAATGGGCGATATCTTCGTTAGGGTGATGGTGTCCTTTTCTTCATTCGCGCCCAACTCCATGACTGACGATGTCCTCTTCAATGCCGGCGAGATCTCGATCCAGGTGCCTTTTGAGTTGGACGTTGGCTGGTAGGTCACTCCCTCGCAGCTGCCTTCTGTGTCTAGTTGTCCTTGCAGAGTTGTGGAAATCTCCGTCGTTCCATTTTTCGTGACCTGGGACACCAATCAGCTCCGATGGCCTTCAGGTCCAGGTGTTGGAATCTCTCCACTCTTCTGCATTCGGAGTCCGACAGGTCCAGGACATACTTTCCTAGGCCCCCTGCGACTGTGCTGGAGTGCGAGTGCAACCCGCAATGCCGGATCATTTGTTGCACGGTGATCAGGCATGTGTATACGTGGACCCCCACGTACTGGCCTTTCTGGACCAGCTGGATGTCCCATAGTTTGGTTTCCTCAGCTTGCCTCGGGTCCAAGCATGGCTTCAACTTCAGAAGCGAGACCTTCGTGAGCTCCACGGAGTCATCCTTGCAGTCATAGGCGATGATGTCCGCCTCTAAACGCAGCATGCTAGCTGCCAGTACGACAAATCTCCCGAAAATCTGAAAATAAGACTGTTTAGCGGTTGATATTTGGCTCTGCGCGTTGCGAAGTGGCTGTGGTAAAACGGTTGTCATTAACCCAAGGTAATTCTGGTACTGGCCCTTGACTCCTGGCATATCTTCTTGATAGCTCCGGTGGAGTCTGTTGCCTGACAGGTTCTGCTTTCGCCGGTAAGGCGTCTACCTAGAGGTCTGGATTTTCTTCTCTTTTGTAATCGTCGATAGGTAGTAGGAGAAATAGGGCTAACCACAGATTAAGGATGATTGGTCAAATTGGGATCAGCCACTTCGTTACCTGTTTTACTCCGTGTTACCCGTCCGCTATAAATTCCGTTTCCGATTGGTGGTATATTTTCTGTCAGCCGGAATTTCATCAGTACGTTCCCCAGTTGGTTTCTAGATTTTTCTGTGGCCAGACACTTTTTCAAACGTGCGTGGACTGTTAATTACCGCCATGTAACCCGTCGACTTGTTTTCTTACTACTTGCTGTAACTTTAATGGTATACGACAAGGTAGCTTATAAACTGGTGGGTTATCTTCTGTGTCAATCCTATGCTTGACTAGGGACGTTGCTTTTAAAGGTTTTCCTTTCTCGGCAAAAATATCTTTAAATTCCTCCAGAAGCTCATGGATTTCTATATACTGGAACTCTTTACCCTTTAGGTATTTTTCCATTGACGTTCCGTTGTCGTCTTCAAAACCTATTGCTGAAACTTTACTGCTGCAGTTAATTGTATTGACTTGCGTTGAAAGAAGATTTTGGCTGATCTCTTCCGTGCTGGCGCTCATCAGTATCGAAATAGGTGTGTTTTTCCGAATCGTCTGAGTCGACGGACAAACATTGATTATTCTAATCGCGATTGTCCGGCGACTTCTCTATGTGTCGTTTGGTATGTCTACCAGAGTTCTGGCTACGCAAATCCCTGGGGCGACGTGTAAGGGTTCGCAGACCATAGTACCCGATGGGTGTCGACTGTCTACTGGAATACTAAGGTCGCTTCCGTGAAAAGCTGGTATTTCTATTGTTTCAGACAATCTGAGTAGACTTGGTTCCTTGGTGTTATAGGCTTCCTCCAAGCTAGATTTTTGAAATTCTGGTTGTGGATTTTATTGTGAGGCAGCGCTGGTGGCGGCATTGGACTTCGAAAAGGTTGGATCCATTGTCTGTTGGACCAAGACGTCAAGAGGAGTCGTGCTTGACTCCTGGTGACCCGTAGGAAGGTGAGTACTCGTACCCCAACTGACTGACTCTTTTTCGCGGGGATCGCCGCACCCGTACCCTGGGAACCCGCGTTTTCGCAGGACTGCAGTTGTCGCCTATTCAAGACAGGCACCTTAGAAACCTGTGTGGGTTTCGCATAAGCGTCTCTATGGGTACAATTTTGAAAGGTATTTCCATAGCTGACAGTGTCAGCCTCGGCTCAAAGACTCCTTTTCTCAATTTCCTTTGCGTCCGCGGAAATCAAGCCAGATCCTCCTTGTAATCCGTGACAGCTAGCAGCCTCGGTAGCTGGCTTATTCATCCAAAGGGGGTGCATAACTTTCACGGGTAAAATCGTTCCGTATAACCTAATTAATCCACCATTAAAATCGAGGAAAGGTCGATGATAATCCAGGAAATCGATGCCTAATAGTCCGTCGGCTGGAAACTTTAAATCATTGTTGCAGATACGAATTGATGTTCCATTTCTAAAGAGCCAAGGTTGAATCGTACTTTCGCTGATCCTCCCTTCTGGATAACATTTCCGGATATATCCGTGATGATCTTATGGTCGTCCGGGGCAACTGGGAAGTTTAAACGCTCAACGACTTCAGACTTGACTAAACTAACGGCGGCTCCACGATCTATGAGCCAACAAGTACAAGTACGTCCTACATAAAGTTCAATAATTTTGGATTTGTCGGTATTGATGTTTAAGACAATCCAGGGTGCATCATAAGTGGTTACAACTATGTTGGTGTTGTCTGGTCTCACAGGGTCACACTGTTTCGTCTACCTCGGCGATATAATCTGTTTTTCAAGAAATGATATCAAGGAACAAGAAAATAAGCTCCGAGACATATTTTTGAAAGTTCGAGAAGCGGGCTTAACGCTGAACAAGGACAAGTGCGAATTCCTCAAGACCCAAACAGCTTACCTAGGTCATTTATGGACTGACAGAAGTTCCTCCAGGATTCTCTGGAGGCCTTTTAATCTCCTTTTTGTATTCCTGCAACGCCTTCTTGTAGTCTTCCCATAGAGGAGAACTTCTCCTGTGCTTAACTCTGTGCACCGCTCGTTTTCTATCCTCTAATTCTTTGGAGCAGACGGTTGCCTTGCCCTTACCTTGAACTTTGCGTAACGGGCAGTTTTCCTCATATGAAGCCGTCAAATCTCTGCTCAGAGACTCCACGGCTGCTTCTATGTCAGAGCCCCTACAAAGTGTGTATGGGACCGCTCCAAGCTTACAGTCAAGGTCTGCCCTAAAGGACCCCCATGTAGTATGCCTAGGATTCCGAGCATATTTATCTGCAATCTCTCCATCAGTCTTAAATAGTATATACCTGTGATCCGATAGAGAGGGTGTTAGAGACACTTTCCAGTCCCTAATATCCTGAGCTTAGTTAAGCGTGCCCAGTGTTACGTCGATAACCTCTTCTCTGACACTATTGCTGATAGTAGGCGTGTTACCGTCATTCTGAACCTCAAGGTTCGATGCCCCTAGGAACTCCATGAGGTCTTCGCCCCGTCTGTTGGTGTTCGAGCTGCCCCACATGATGTGATGGGCATTGCTGTCACATCCAATCACGAGGTGGAGTCCAGGATCCCTACAGAATGCGACAAAGTCCGCTAGTTCCTTAGACGGAGGAGGCCCTCTTGAATCGTAAGGAAGGTAAGCCGAACATACGACCAGGTCCCTGTCAGTGCCTTCCTTCTTATATCTAATTCTAACAGCAACTAAGTCTCTGAAGGTAAATTCTTTAAGTTGCCATGTGTTAATGGAAGTCATTACGCAAGCTCTGGGCTTAGTGTCCGGAGTATCACTAAAAAACCTATTTTCGCAGCCAGGGTTCCTAGATGAGAGCCACGTCATGTCGGCCTGGAGTGATCTCCTGAGTAAGGGCACTCGAAGCCGCTATGCAGTGCTGTAAGTTAACTTGAATGAAATTAAGACTTACCATGGGTGTTGAGACGCCCCTTCCTACACCTTCTCGAATGACGGTATGTCCCCTATTCGGGCGTCTAATTGACAATGGTACCGGTTGTTCCATTTTTAAGCGGAATACCTGCCAACATACCAAACGTGTAACCGAAAATATCCCTATCCGAGGTATCACTGACGAGAAAATTTTCATTACAGAAGCAGTTCTTGACCCATTTGCCCCCAATAATTATCACAAAATTTATTTCTACGATTTAGATATTGCTTTCGATATTCTTGGATCAGACTTCCTTGAACACTGAATGAAAATCGCCAATTGATTGCAAATTTCAAAAATCTCCCTCTTTTCAAAGTCGGTGGCTAAAATTTCCCCCAGCTTCCACAATTTCAAGAAATTTCCCAAGTTCAATATGCCATTTTCGTTCCTCCCAGAGTTGAAAAAGTTAGGCTCAAATTCGAGCTTAAAATACTGAAGCCGTTCTTCTGGCATGTTTGGTAGAAAAAGTCCTCCTACCCAGTTCCATTGTAAAAATAAAGGCGAATTTCTCACTACAGTCTTGAACTGTAACGCCATTTCCAAAAATGTAATTTTGCTCCAATCGGTATTCGAACCCTTCAACGAAACTTCAGTCAATAATTTCAATACATCTTTACATGATTAAAGTCAATATAACCGTAGAGATGCTAGAGATCCGACTGGCTGACAACTCTTCTCTAATCGTTTGCCTTTTATACCTGACTGGCTTGTTCTACATCGTTCTAGAGATTACAAAGTATCGAGGTTTCTTCTCAAGCTAGATAGCCGTTAGCCGTTAGTATGAGAAAACGGTCGCTATTTGTATGTTTTGATGTACTTTCTTCAATGATATGGCAAATAAGATCAAATTTATAATTTCAGTTAAAGCCTGAAAGATGGGAGGTGATGAAAAACAGTCGGGCAACAATGACCTTAGTCAAGCAGAAGAAAATGGAGCAGTAAATCCCAAGACTGAAGCCTATATGAAGGACCTGTTGGCCGAAAAGAACAAGCTTGATGTGGATAATTATCCAATTGTTGCTAGGCTGTTGGATGAAGGTATGTTTTATGTCTTATCTCAAAAGTTGAAGATATAGATATGATGGTTATTCATAATAACACAGATACACAATATAGTTAGGTGGTTAAGACTCGAAAATAATCTAAATCCTACATTTTTTAACCGGATGTCCTGGAAAATTCGTTCGGCGGGTTTTGACTCGACACATAGATAGTATCAGCAGCAAATTAAAGCCAAAAGGTGACAGAAAAACTGCTGGCAGCGACTGAGTACAAAGATGAGCCATCCAACTTGCACATACCTCTTGCATCTTCTGGCCTCCAAAAATACCGAATTGCAACGTTGTATTAGCACCGACGACGGCCTCAAGAGCATGATTGATACTGGAAGGTAATGTCCGAGCAATAAATTATAGATAAAAGGTACCGCATACTATAGAGGCGCGTGGCTTGGTTGACTCCAGTGGCGGTGGGCTATTGCTGTTGATCAGGTGTAGGCTTAATTAAATTCCCAATATGGTGTGATTTTCAAAGCAGATTACATCTTTATTTGTAATATATCTCCAGGCTTGTGAAAAGCAAAATATTTCTTTCAAATTTCAATATTCAGGGAGAAGCAGGTTGTTTGATTAATTCTGATATGGTAGGTTGGATGTTTGGTATTGAATAGACAAGCCGTAAGTGCTAGGCTACCAAACATAGTTACGTTTGGAAATATAAAATATAAATATGAAAAACGTTTATTTTACGAAATTAGCGCTAGCTATTTATCCTTCTTGCAACTAATTTCATTAGCTCTGAAAAGTATTTTACCAGTATTTAGTTTAACCACTTTCTGTGTCTATACAAAACTGCATTCTGGTCTACATGCTTCTTACTTTGTAGACATACTGGTAGGTTCAGTCACATTAGATAGAAACCAAATATATAGAATTTTTGCTTTTCCAGAAATCCTCCCAATGCTAATACAAACAATTATGATCAGTTATGATTTGTTAATTTTATTCCTCTGTGACTTCCTAGTTTAGTCCGATGACGGAAATTTGAAATGTGTCCATAAAAATGATTTGTAGGAGCCACTGTTGTGGTTGATTTCGCGATAGTAACTGTTTCCTGTAGATTGAGATATTGCTCAACCAGTGGTGTTATCCAGGAAAAGATCTTGGGGGAGGCTCAAGATCCAGGGGGACACGAAAATTCCGTCTCGGGGCGGAGGGGTGTCTTGGAGATATAAAACTGCATAGCAGAGGGGGGGTCCTGGTGGCTACACTTCACAGAAGGTATAGCATGCTGTAATATGTAGAAGAAGCGTAACGAGCTGTTGCGCTTCGTTAGGGTAGACTCCGAGAAGCCCCAAAACCCTCCCATGAATACGCCGGTGTTCCCATGCCAGAATAGGAACAGAGGCCTAGCTCAGTGTTCCGCCCTACTTTCTAATATCATTGGGTTTGCATCCATCCAGCGACGGCGACGAAGTAAATAAGAAATGAATAAGTCCTTCTTGATTCAATTTACAACTTAATGCATTAATCGAAGAAATGATCCTGTTTTTAGTCATAAAATCTTACCAGACATTTGAGAAAAAAAATAATATTTTAAATTTCAATAGGCATTAAGAGTAATCCATGTAACTTTTTCTTATGAATGTGGAAGTGGAACAACCAGCGGGTACGCTTATGCCGTCGGCGGCGCGGCACCTGTATTTTGTGTTTTTGGCTCACAAAAAGATTGACAGTAGCTAGAAAAAAAGTCGTATTTTTCTATTTGACTCTTACGTTTAGTGGATTTAGCATTTAGAAGGCTGGCTATTATTACCTCCAATCGCATCCTAAGAAAAAAATTCGGCCTGATTCTTTGTTCATTTTCCTGTTGTGCTTTTTGTCACTGCAAGCAAACTGTAGCTAAACTGTTTTCACAAAGCTTTTTGAAAAACTTTGTCAGACTTCGCTTTGAAATGATATTCCCAACTTGGGGAATAGGACGTAGGTTTTTTTCAGTGTACTCGTATAGTACAGAAACATTTTCACTGTATACTGCTGTAGAGTGCTACGTGGCCCGTATTAGATTTGTATAAGAATGTGTTTGTTTATTTGTTACTTTTGTTTATGGATTTATACAGAAACTGTTTTTTTTTTTGAGAATTCTAAATTGATTTCGCACTTGTTTGTATTTTAAAGGATACTATTTTTGTTTTAATTGCATGGAATTGACTG